GCAGGGCCAGAGTGGGTGAAATTGCCACTTTTGAGGCTTGGGAAGCTTCAGAGGTCCCTGAAGGTGGCCATTTCGCTCCATAAGATGCATACACTCCCCCCCTGACTTTTTTTGGGAAAAAAGTGTGTCTTATGGATCGAAAAATACGTTATATACTGTAGTATTATTTGTAAGTTGTACTGGTGGTTCTAATGAGTTGCTATATTTCTGTACAGTTACTAGGCAGGACAACCTTAACCTTACTGGGAAGTTATGTAGTAGTTTTATTATAACTGATATTTCCTGTTAGAGCTATGCTTTTAGTCCTAAAGATGTTATTTGCTCATCTGCTCACTGATGGTAAGCCAGTTATTTTGCTTGAATTGTTTTCTGGCTATATGTGTGTTGCTTCAAAGATTCAGACAGTAAGCCAATATATTATATATTGCATATCCTATGGTCAGAATTTTGTTGGGATTTTATTCTGGAGTAAGTGTGATTGCATTAAATTACAGTGGTGCATTGCAACTAAGCAATAAGATGCCAGACATACCACTGGCACCTCATTTATTAGTTGCAGTTGCCACTACAACTTACATGATTTCACTTACTCCAGAGTAAAATCCTATTAGGATCCTGGCATTTGTTACATATAATAAAAAGCAGAAGTGCATTTTCCCAATAAACAAATTGGGGAGCAGTTATCAGTAAATGGTCTATTACAGTGTTCCTAGCCTTGGATAACCCAGGTGTTCTTGGATTGTAACTCCCAGAAATCCCAGCCAGCACAGCTGGTGGTGAAGGCTTCTGGGAGCTGCAGTCCAAGAACAATGACATTACCCAAGCTTGTGAAACAATGGTCTAGTAAGCAAGTTTGCCTCTAAGCTGGGCATGTGCACACATGTACACGCCTCTTCTTGCCTCTGCGCAACCGTCTTCCCCCTCCGCAGAGCAATCACGTTAGGTTCTGGTCGCGATGGACCCCTGCCTCCTGGGGGCGGAGTCACTTGTGCATGCAAGGCGAAGCCACGCCCAGCGGAGCTGCTGCTTAGAGGGTACTTTGCTATTAGGACTCTACCATTTTCAATAAACTAACTACACCAATTATTTTCATTTTACTGTTTTGAAAACAATACCTCCTGTGGCATTCCATAATGCTTTCTTAATGCTAAATAATATAATATCCATAACCAATTTTTATGGCAAATACTAAACTTTAGTATTACTCTGTACATTATGCCTCATTTTTTCACTGCTTGTAACAACTGCTCCAGGGCATCGTTCTTAGTATTTAGGCTGGTTTGCAGCAGTTCCTTTAGGTCCTTGATAAAACTTCTAGATCAAAGCCAGATCTGTTGTTGACACAGAAACTCTCCACCTGGTTGGATGATTTGTGGTGGCTAGCCAGTGCTGATGTAAGCGGCTAGACATGGAGGAGATACTGTGAAGATGTGACCTATACAAAGTGGTAAACTAGATTAGATGTTGATGGCGGCGTGTAGAACAAATCCTAAACATTTGTGCCGGCTTGCATGCTTGTGGTGCTAAATTGGTATCAAAATATACACCCTATTCTACGTGTTTATTTGTTGAAACAGCCTTTCTTAGGACTGGGCTGCTTGCCAGTATTTCATTTCACGAAGGAGGGAGGAAGAAGAGAGAAGGTGATGAAAAATAGCCATTGACCTGATCTGGTTCCTCTCTATTGACACTGTGTTGCTTGCAATGGATTATAAACAAAAACAACTTAATGCAATGAATATACTTCATGTATAGCCATTCCAGTCGAATTAATGTCCCATTAATTCTAATAATTAATGGGGCATTAATTTGACTGGAATGGCAAAGCAGGTGTTATTATTTATAGTAGGCCCATGTGGGTGTTATATATAATAGATATGTTTTTCATAAATGGTAAAAGTGTGTGTGTGTGTGTGTGTTTTTAAAGGAATCTGAGTAGGAGACAAGTGTGGTGGTTCAGCTGAGGGTGTAGCTGAGACCAGGCTGTAAGTCCTGAAGGGAATCAGTCAGGGAGCTGAAAGCAATGACTAATCACCACAGCCCCATATAGGTTTGGCTCCTGTGCTAAATCAGTGCAGGAAGCAGTTTTTGTTTTTGGTTGCTATTGTTTGTGGACTGCTTTGTGAAACCTTCTGGATGTCTCTTGACCATTGGACTGGACCTTGAACGGGAGTGATTCAGGACAGCTTGCTTCCTGCCTTGCAAAAGGAAAACAGTGAGTTGTTTCATTACGGAGCAATTAACTCAAGCAAATTTACAGGTAGAAGGACAGATAAATCAGCTGGCTGCAGCTGTACAGCAGTTGCAAATGGGGGCTGCAGCTCCAGCCCCAGTGGTGAAATCAAAATGTCCCATAGCTACACCAGATAAATTTAATGGCTCGGTAGAAAAACTACCATTGTTTTTGGCTCAAAGCCAGCTTTGTATGAGACTGAGAGCAGATGCTTTTCCTGATGAAAACATGAAAGTTGGCTTTTTTATCAGTTTATTGACAGGCCAGGCAGCCAAATGGGTCACTCATCTGCTTCTTGAGAATAGCCCAGTACTGAATAACCTACAAGACTTTATCAGGAGCCTAAAGGACATGTTGGAGGATTTAGTATGTGCTACTAATGTTAACCACAAAATTCGTAGGCTGCAACAGGTTGAGAGGCCCCTGGGAGGATATATAACAGACTTTTGTGTGCTCCAGCAGGACCTGGCATGGAATGAAGCAGCCTTCTTGAATCACTTCCAGAAAGGTCTTTCGAAGGAGATCTTGGATGCTTTGGCCTACGTGGACAGGCCTCTCAACACTGCAAAAACATATTCATCTCTGTCTTAGAACAGCTTGGAGTCAACAAGGAGCCACTTCAGGTCTAGAACAGGCCAGGAGGTGCCTAGCCCCAAACCATTGCTTCAGGGAGTGCCTAATGTTGTCAGCCCTCTCCCCTTTGAGGAACCCATGCAGCTGGGTGGGGCTCATCCTTGCCTGTTGCTAGAAGGAAAGCAGCAGCAGCAGTTGGGGCTGTGTTTGTATTGTGGACAGCATAGGCATTTTGCGCATACCTGTTCAGCTAAAAGGCCAGCCCAGATGAACATGGGAAAAAGCCGCCCCTCAACCTTGGTGGACCCAACGGACGAAGGAAGATTCCGTTCTGTGGTGTCCAGCACACTCAGGCCACTGTCTCCCGACATCTGATAGGGCCAATTATCCTCTCAATTCATGGACAAGCAGTTATTAAGGCGCAGGCCATGGTGGACTCAGGGGAATAGAAGACTGCCTGCACTGAACCTGGGTTCTGACTCTGAAATTGACCCTCCCTTGCCAGCTCAGCTGTAGCGGAAGGAGAAACACAGACTGCAGCAAGTGGAGATGAGGTGGAGCTTACGTCTACAGGAAAAGGTGCCACAAACTGGGCCCAGGAGTCCTTAAAAGGGGGGGGGGAGTTCAAGGAGAGACTATCTTTGGACCTGGGGTAGTGTGGTGGTTCAGTTGAGGGCTTAGCTGAGATCAGGCTGTAAGTGTTGAAGGGAATCAGCTAGGGAGTGCAGCTGAACATGATGGCTAATCACCACAGCCCCACATAGGTTTGGCTCCTGTGCTAAATCAGTGCAGGAAGCAACTGTTATTACTGATTGCTATTGTTTGTGGACTGCTTCATGAAACCTTCTGGATGTCTCTTAACCGTTGGACTGGAACTTGATGGGAGTGATTCATGACAACAATTTACTAAAGAGTAAATGTGTCAGTATTCAGCTCTTTTTGACTTTCTGTATTTGTGACTTTTTTAATCAGTATATTTCTAATTTGATGAAATTACATATAAATTCCAGGTTAATTCAACAGGTCTCAGCCTTTTAAGTGATGAATTGTTGAGACTTATACTGGCAGAGCCTTTGCTGGGGAAATTCAACTTTAATATTCTTGAATTGTTTTCCTTTTTGCATTTAAATTATAGGAGCTGTAAATAGATTCTAATTCACTATTCTAGAAATTTCTGTTGTGTCTAGTACAGAAAATGCCCTTGGTATGGTTGACTTGCATCTTGTACATATATTCTTATTTCCAAGCATATCAAGATGCTCATGCAGTAGAAGAACGCAAGGGGTCTGCTGGTGTTTTTTGTTTTCATCCACTCCTGAGTAGTATAGACCAGGGCTTGGACACATCACCACTTTTGAACAACAACTCCCAGAATCTCTCAGCTAATAAAAATAGTAACATTTCTAACCTCCAGTATGAAAATTAGCATATTTCATTTCTTTCTTTTTAATGAATGTTGTCATGCAAAGCTATCATTGTGTGGACATATGAAAACTACATCCTTTTGGATGTGAAACCGCACTTACTGTAGGATCTGTCAGCATCCTGTTGCCACATTAAAGTAGGTCCATTGAATCAATGGAGATTTGTTGAGTTGACCCCTTTGATAGTTCCATTGATTCAACTGGGCTTACTCTAACTGTGTGTTGCTCTAGCTTAGAAAGTCACAGAGTACATCCATTTCAATGAATGGAAAAAGGTGGTACTGATTCACTAAATTTCCCATGTGGCTACTCTAATGCAATTTGGTACATGAATCAACAGGATTTTGTCACTTTCAGTCACTGTCTCTTAGTTTAAAAGTTAAAAAACATTCCATTACAAATCTGAATGATGGATCTGCTGTATCAAAATTAAAACATTTTTAGTGAACCGTTGTGGATTTCTACTGAACTTCACAAACCGTCTAATTAAATTTTGAATTAATAGTTGCTGTATTTAGAGAGGCCTGTTCAGTCCTAGTATTCCTAAATGTTTAAAAGACCAACTGTATAGTTTTGGAAGACAGAATTCGCAGGTTAACTTAGTTGAACAGTCAACACAGGTTTTTGAAAATCAATGAGAACTACTGTGTTTCCCCAAAAATAAGACAGGGTCTTATATTAATTTTTGCTCCAAAAAGCATTAGAGCTTATTATCAGGGGATGTTTTATTTAATTTTTTCCATGTGCAACAACCTACATTTATTGAAACACGGTCATGTCATCTTCTGGTTGCTGTACAATGGTGGAGGGTCGGGTTTCACTTAACTGGGGCTTATTTTTGGGGTGGTGCTTATATTGCGACCATCCTGAAAAAAACAGGCTTATTTTCAGGTTAGGTCTTATTTTTGGAGAAACGGTAGTGTTTTTGTAAAATAGAATTAAAATAAAAGAGGGGAATCTGTGTAATATAGAAGCTTACATTGTCAGGAAGGTGTTGTATTAACTGACTTGATGCAAAGAGTGACATATGGTGCAGCTTTTTGTAAGTAGCTTGTTAGTTAGCATGCTAATCTAAGAGATTGTTTTCCCCTTTCAGATTCCTTATGAGTTTATCCTGTTCAGTAGATCTTGACTACCTACATCATATAAAGCGATTTATGTCCTCCTTTGACATCTTTTTGGACAACTCAGCTCCTGAAGATTAATTTCAAAACAAATATGCTCAAAATCATATACTGTACTTAATTTTATATTACAAGTTCAAGTTAAATTTTTTTACTCTGAAATAGTGAAGAAAAATATATCCTAGTAGAAAGGACAAATAAACTCTTTTTAAAATAATTATGTCAGTTTTTTATTACATAGTATAACACTTTAATATTTATTTAATGCTTATATTTCACATCTGTGACTTTTTCATAGCCATTGGTTCTATGGTAAAAATGAGTGGTTTAGACAGAATTTAAGAATGAAAGAGCTAAGAATGAAAGGCAAAATCAGAAGAAAAATATCTGATACTTGTGTTACTGTGAGTGTTATGCAACTAAAAGATTTAGTCAATTTTTGTCTTCATCTTCAACTTTTGCAATGTTGTTTTAAATAAAATAACAAATAGCATTATTTTAAAAAATATCATAACTTAAATTTTACACTCTCAGTTGGATATCAAAAGAGTAAAAAAACTGTTGACATATTTCATTTCTTTAAAAGTCACTCTCCCTAACTCAATTTTGACTTTCAGCCAAAAGTCCAAAGTGCAGATGATAAAAAAAAATACAGACTGTCTAGAACAATATCATACATAATCATTTAGAGTTCAAATTCACAATGAAAAGAAATAACCTATCCTGAAAGGAACCAAGTATCTACTTTATGTACTCCCCTATAACTTGGATGGGTTGTACTGTGAACCTTTGGGAAATCACTTGAGTCAAGTCAACAGGGCTATGAGGCAGGGGCAGGACCATGGGTTAATGGTAGAAAAGAAAGACCCGTGTATAATTTCTGGCATCTTCATGTAGAAAAAGTTCAGTTTTTGTAGGTTAAAAAAAAATGGAGATGAGCCCATTATGAACATGAAATATGATACATATCCTTTATCTTTGGCTCTTTGGGGATGTTTACCTTTTCGATTTGGTACTGCCACAGTTGTTCCCCTGTTAATGCCACATATGTTTTAGTGGACACATGTAAAAGAGCAGGACTGAGAACACTGGTCCAATCAGACATCTCCCTGTGTTCACTCAGTGTGTGAGTATAACATGTGAACAGGTCTTTATGTCTAATGTGCAGAGTAATCATTTAGTTTCAATCATTTAGTTTTCAACTTAGTGAGTTTAGTGGTATATACTTCCACAGATATTTGTTTAGGATTAAAAGAGCCAGCCTGTGTGGCCTTAGGCAAGCTGCACAGTCCCAGGGCACCTCTGGAAGAAGGGAATGGCAAGCCAATTTTGTGTACTGTCTACTTAGAAAACCCTGGAAAGGGTCACCCTGAGTCAGAATTGACTTGATAGCACACAGTTGTTGTTGTTGTTGTTGTTGTTGTTGTTGTTGTTGTTGTTGTTGTTGTTGTTGTAAGCTTAAATCAATTTAAAAATATTTATTTGAGTTTAGTTTATAATAATCTTTGCTATAAAACTTGGTTTCAAGGCAGCTCTTAAGAAGATTAATTAATGGATACAGGTAGGATCCCACAAAGTTTTAATATTAAAACACAGCAGTCGCAGTCATAGCTGCAGTCACATACTGTAACTGGTTTGCATGACCATTATGGCTGGTTGTTATGCCCTCAGACACACCCAGGTTGTGCACTCAGTTATGCAGCTGGATATCTGATAGATAGTCTGAATATTGTGAAAACCACTTGTACAAATCCCCCTTATGCATACAGTAGGGTTTTGGCCAGTTAATTAAAAGCTGTACTGAAGCACATAAATAAAATGAAAATTAACCACCTATTAAGTGATGTTTCGTGTCTATCTAGTCAGTCAGAGAGAGAGAAAAAGACTATCTTAATTGCAGTTCAACGGTAGTTTAGTGGAACTGGAAACCAGACAGAAAAAGATCTTTATTATACTTTGCTTAATTACTGCCTCCGAAGAACGCCACAGATTGCTTGGGCCAGAATGTGCTGGGCCATTTTCCAAGTGTAATTAATTCTCAACACCCCAAGACTTTGTCTCTCCATATTTGGGTTCAGTGCATTTTTCCAGTTTCTTTAAGCTTTTTCATCATTCGGCAATCTTGCCACATAGGAAAGGGCTGTTTTTTTCTTTTTACCTATTCAATGTTATTTGTTTTGTGAAACTGACTTTGAAATATATCCTTTAGGCTACTGTCAAATAAAACTCTGTATATATAATTAATTAACTACAGTGGTGCCTCACTTTAACAGGCGCTCCGTTTAGCGACGAAACCACATAGCGCTTAACTTTTTGCGATCGCAAAAGCGATCGCATTGTGATGTTTCCTAAGTCGTTTTATCGCTTTGCGATGATCGATTCCCTGTTTCGCTTACTGATCATCACAAAGCGATGATTTTTAAACAGCTGATCGGCAGTTCCAAAATGGCCACCAGGTAAAAAATGGCCACCTGCTGTGTTTTTGCGCCGATTCCTCGCATAAGAGTCAGCAAAAATGGCCACCGTATGGAGGATCTTCGCTTTAAGGTGAGTTTTAAGCCCATAGGAACACATTAAACAGGTTTTAATGCATTTCTATGGGTTTTTTAAAATCGCACAGTGACGAAATCGCTTAGCAGCAATTTTTGCTGCACAGATTAACGTCGCTATGCGAGGCACCACTGTAGTTTTTATTCTTCAGGGGTGCAAAATGCTGGGTATCAGCAGAGTGTGCTGACAATTCTTTGTGTGTTTTTATCAGGCCTGGTTGTGGAACAGATTCCAGTCGAATCTGATTTTGACAAAGGTAAATGATGGTCAGATAGATAAGAGCTAAGACAAGAGCAGGTTATGGTTGAACTGGCGCTCTTAAGCTAAATCCTAACTCAAGTAGTCAAGACAAGATGGTGCTGTTTATAACGCTGGCAAGGCATGAAAGGATGTGCTATATCTCCAGTGGCTTTTAAGGTCATCCTACCATTTTAGCCAAGTACTGCAGCCTAGAGGACACCCAAGATTCCTGAAGATTGGCTCTCTGGGGAGTGTGGAAAAGGCTATTGGAGAGTGATCAGGAGCCCTGAGCAAAATCATATTTCATTGTTTAACTTATCTTAGATTTAAGAGAGTTAAAAACGAAGTACATGTTTATACAGTGTATACTCAGACCGTGATCCAACCCTGCTGCTCTTTCACCTTCTCTTTATGGAAGGACAGCCTTCTGTTTCCGAATGCTCTGCACATGTTCTCACCCAGCTCAGAAATGGTACTTTTTCAGACTACAGCTCCAAGAATCCCCTAGTCAGCATGGGAGCTATAGTCCAAAAATTTCCAAACTCTGTCCATCCCTGTTGGTATCAACCAAGTTGGGCTTGGAACGATTTTTGTCTGAACCTATGCAAAATTGCTTGTGGTCATATTGGACAATATTGAGCGAAAGAGACCAATGGCCACATTTGCTATAATGCAGCTTCCTGTTTGCCGTTTTCTCCTATTGACTGCTGTCTGGTTTGTTTCTGAGGAAAAGAGCCAAGAGCTAAAAAGAGAACAGAGATAGTAACTGGGAAACTTTAAGTGGACATGTGGGATATTCAAATTTGTATCCCTGGACATGAAATATGAATACAAATATTGGCACCATAGGTACCTGGAGAAAATGGACTCTCCCCCCAGAACTGGCAGGTCCATTTACTGCTCGCTGTGCAGCGTGCGCAACTGTTGTTGGTTTGTGTTGTGCCAATCGTGGAAGTAGCCCAGCCGGTGCTTCCCCGCCTTCCTGCATAGCCGACCGCTCAGCAGCTAAGTGGGGAGACTCATCATTCCGCCTCCTCATCAGAGTGGTTGGCTATGTGGGGAATCACCGGCTATTTCCGCAATTGGCTCCATGCAAACGATGGCAGTGTACAGTGTGTGGTAAGTGGCCTGGCCAGTTCTGTGGGGAGAGTCCAGTTTCCTCAGGCACTTGTAGTATTAATATTCATATTTGTATCCCCAGTGATACAAATACGAATATCCCATCTCTATTTAAGTGAGACCTCATGGTTTATACTTCTCTAGACATAACATCTGTTTAATCTCTATTTCACTGTCATTTCTGTGGCACTTTGGATTTAGTGTGCATCCAGTCCAGTCAAAACAAGAGTTTCTATCAAATTCCCATGAAGTAGTGAAGATGAGCAATAAAAAAAAAGGAAAGCTCCCCAAATATATGGTGTTTTCCTTACTTAACTTTGATTTTTCATTTCTATAAGCAGTGCCTTTGTCAGTGTTAAATGCCTCCTTTGTAGAACCTGAATCGGAAATAGTCTTTTAATTTTTAAAAATGATTTAAAGGGACAGAAATATAAAAAACAGTTATATTAAAGCACTTCTGCAATGACAGTGAAGAATTCCATTAATATAAAAGCAGCCCAACAAGCTTAAATCAAAGCAAGGACAAACTGTGCTTTTCCAAGACATGATTTTTATGGTTTTCTTTGCCATTACTGGTATTTTTATGCTTCATGTGTGTGGTATGCAAAGTGCTTGTTCATTCCTCACAGCTTGTGTCTCATAGCGAAAGGATGTGTACCTATGTATTTAACCCTTAATCTCTTTACATTTGTTTTCTAGACCATGGGGAATTCATATGCAGGGCAACTGAAATCTGCCCGTTTTGAAGAAGCCCTTCACAACTCAATTGAGGCCTCTCTAAGATGCAATACAGTTGTTCCTAGGCCTATTTTCTCCCAGCTCTATCTTGACCCTGATCAGCCACCTATTTCGCCGGAAGGTAACCACGCAAGTATGGCATAGTTTAATCATCCTTTTTATGTTAGAAAAACTGTTGTATAGCTTTCATGGGGGTGGTGGGAATACAGTTTTCTGTTTCCACTAACACTTACATGTGGGTATGTTGTCTTCTCATAATGTACTTTAGATGTGAAACCAAAAGTAGAAGATTTAGACAAAGAACTGATGCATCGTTACACACAGAATGGAAGCTTGGATTTTTCCAGTAGCCAAACAATGAATGAAATGGATGAAGATGATGATGAGGAAGATATGTCTGATTCCAATAGTCCACCAATCCCATACGCACAAAAACCTGCCCCAGAAGGGTCTTGCACTACTGATGGTTGGTTTAAGCTTTCCTTAACTTTATTAAATTATTATACCTTTCATGAAAGCTGTGGGTAAAAAAGAAACTAAAATATACATATGGTTGTGACAATGTTAATGTAGCCAGTAGAATAGCCTTGTTAGTCAGTTATAGCAAAAACATCAAACCCTTACGGAGCTGTAATAGTCAACAGTGCAGTCCTATATATTGTATATCTACTCAGGGGTAAGCCTCACTGTTTTCAGCGAGGTGTGCTGCCAGATAAGTGAGGGCTTAGATAATACTGTAATTTTGCTACTTTTCAAGAAACCACAAGACTCTTTGTAATATTACAGAGTGGTCCGGTGGGCCAGATAGGCGTGGTATAAATTAAATAAATAAATAAATAAATAAATAAATAAATAAATAAAAAATAATAATAAAAACAACAACAATAACAATAACAATAATAATAATAATCACCTCACACTCAGTAGTACTATAGCTGCAAATTCAGTCTTAGTAAATTTCCTTTTGTGCAAAATGCATGTAAGATTGTGGTCTGATTGTTCCTGTAATTCAAATTTGGGAAATAAGCCATACAGCAAACAGCTCAAATGGTTGTACAGTGGACCCTTGACTTTTAGACGGCTTGACTTACAGACTTTTTGAGTTACAGACTTCTCTGGCTGCAAAGTTTAGGTTTGACTTGCAGCCTGAGAATTGACTTACAGACCAGAAAAAAACCAAAATGGAACAAAAACGGCCTGTTACGGGATTAATCGGTTTTCAATGCACTGTAGGTCAATGGAGACTTGACCTACAGACTTTTTGACTTGAGAACCGCCTTCCAATACGGATTAAGTTCTCAAGTCAAGACCCCACTGTATTCCTGGAGAGCATTTTACGAAGTATTTATGGTTGAATAGGAAGATAGATATACTGTAATTCACTTTTTTCCCTTCATTTTGACTAATAATATATTTCATGGTCAGATTTTCAGAATATAAAATTTGTACCAATCCTTAAAGTTTTTAGAAATTGTTTTCACTCTTTTAGCAGCACAGAAAAAGCAAGGCAATGTGTTTATACATTTATTTTACAGATAAATATTTCTTCCAAATGTTTTAGACAGTTGCTTCAAGATGTGAAAGTTCGCTTGTGAGTTGAACTGAACCATTCAAGTATATATCTTGAAGGAGAAAAAAACATTGTGTGCCTTCTGTCTAGTGCGCTACTCTGGCAAAAGTTTAGACAGATCTTTAAAACAAAAGGCATAAATGTTTAAACATATTCCTTGAATTACAAACTGGCTTGTCTTCTTGGAAGCATAAGGCAGTGAAAAATTCCAATAACACGTAGAAAAAAACACAGTATATTTCAGAGCTTCCACAGCCATGGCCATTTCTGCTTCAAAGATCTTTTATAAATAAGAAAGAACAGGCAGCCCCCTTGAAGCCCCCTTGAAGGGGGCTTCATTGTTATCAAATATTAAGAAGAAATGCGAAAATTTAATCAAAAGAGCAGAGGGGAGGTTCTGGTTGCACTGCCGCCGGACGGTGGTGGTGTCCCCCCCACCCCCCTGTGCCCTCACTAATAGTTATGGCAGGGGAATATGGTGGGGTGGGAAAAAAGATAAATGTTCAGAGGGTTATTAGGGGTAAAATACAGTGGTGCCTCGCTTAACGACAATAATCCGTTCCAGGAAAATCGCCGTTAAGCGAAAACATCATAAAGTGAAATTTAAAAACCCCATTGAAACGCATTGAAACCCATTCAGTGCATTCCAATGGGGTAAAAACTCACAGTCCAGCAAAGATCCTCCATACGGTGGCCATTTTCGCTGCCTGTATAGCGAGGAATCCATCCCTAAGCACAGCGGGGAGCCATTTTAAGCACCCGGTGGCCATTTTGAAAACCCGACGATCAGCTGTTTTTGATCGTTGTAAAGCTTTTAATGACCGGAATGATGTTCTTCAAAGAAACACAATATTGAGCAAGAAGGTAAAAATAATCATTTGAAGGATATTTGGTGGATAATGAAAGGTGATGAAAGAAGATATTTTTAGCAGTATATAGTAGTTACTCCAGAATAGATTTTATATTCACATCTCAAGATTTAATTCCAAAGATAGTTAATACTGAGATCAATTCCATAAAAATAACATATCATTCTTTGATGTCAATGAATTGATTTCAAATTTTATGAGAAGTGCTAGAATATTAATAGCTAGATTCTGGAAAGATAAAAATGATATTCAATTAGAAGATTGTTATAATGAAGTATGGCATATTGCATTAAATGATAAATTGTCTACTGAACTTAAGATGAAAAGAGGGGAAATAAGTTCAAATATTTTTATGCTATTTGGGGTAGATTTGTTGAATTTGTATTAGTGAAAGGAAAGGGGAAAGCCTCTAAACAACAATCATTACAATTTTGGAAACGAAGTTCGTATTAAAAGTATTGTTCCAAAGGGTCCTGTGGATATGGGGGAGCACTGTGATTAGGTTGAATTAGTAAGTATTTTGTATTTTTGTATTTATTTTTGTTTTCGAAATTAAAAAAAGAACAGGCAGTGAAAGGACAGAAGAGATACTGTATTAACAGAGGTCAGATCCATTAATATTAATGAATATTTGGGGCAGTCTCTTCAGGAGGACAGTGGTTTCTTTTTACATTGTGATCAGCTTCAGTGATACTTGGGTCTCTCCTGGGTAGGACTTTTTATGTTTTGGCTGTGTATACATCCTCTATAGCAGTGATCATCAACCTTGGTCCTCCAGATGTTCTTGGACTTCAACTCCCAGAAATCCTGGCCAGCAGAGGTAGTGCTGAAGGCTTCTGGGAGTTGTAGTCCAAGAACATCTGGAGGCCCAACGTTGAGGACCACTGCTCTATAGCACTGGTTCTTAACCTTTGTTACTCAGATATTCTTGGATTGCAACTCCCAGAAGCCTTCACCATCAGCTCTGCTGGCTGAGGTTTCTGGGAGTTGCCGTTCAAAAACACCTGAGTAACAAAGGTTAAGAACCACTGCTCTATAGTAGCTCAAGGCAGGATTTATCTTTAGCCTAATAAGGAGCAAAGCTTTTAAAATCTCAGTGTCTCCCCAGTGACTGTGATCTGGATTGTTGCTTCTGTGCCTCCATTTGTGGTATGGAAGCAATGATCCTGCATGCTTTGGGGAAATGGGAATTTGGCCACAGTAGTCAGCTTTGAAGGTCAGTGGTTAGGCCTCAGGAAGCTGGGTGTAAATTGTAGGTTGTACACCTCTGCCTAATAGACTCAGTGAATTCTTCTCTTTCACATCTACATCATTAGAATTTAAACCAAGAAGTATGTTTCAAAGCATTCTTCGGGTTTGATCACGACTGCCACTCTTGTTTTATGTAGACATGCCTCAGAGTTCTTTTACAGAACTCAAGATAGCACCGTATGGGGTTCCAAAGCAGCCTGCCATTCACTGAACAAAGTCCAATCTGCTGAGCTTCAGCAGCATGGCTGCCTCAAGGGTAGTGGGGCTACAGCCTCAAATGTGTTCAATATGTTTGAAATGCCCCATATATACCTTTTACTGGTCTTCCCTTTCTTATTAATCTTATATTGTGTCCTGAAATTAAGATAAGAACCATTCAAATAATTTGAATGTCTGTTTTAGCAGGTAATAGACTGTAAGCATTTGATTCATAATTAAACGAAGTGATTATAATAATCGTTGATAAATAATACATCAAAAATAATGGGTTATATATAGCACGAAGCTTGCGCAGGTCAGAGCTTTCTCATTTTCCCTTTTTTAACAGTTTTAGTAGCTGTCTGCTACTGAATAGATTCCTATCCCTCTGAAACTGGCTTTTGAGGTGGTCAAGGGCTTCTCCTGGGGAGCAGGTTTGGCCTCTCCTGCCCTGGCTGGATTTTGCTCTTGTGTGAGCAGAAATCCAGACTTGGATGAAGCCCAATACTCTTCCTGAAGCCTTTTATCAGCAGTAGTTGAACTAGTTAGCCTTTGCCTTCCCATCCCCCAACCTTAGGTGTACCACAAGTGTTCCTCAAATTAAAAGTGACCTGTTTTCCTGCTGCTCAGCATTATGGGTGAAGAGTACTAGAACTCATGACTGCTTCATTATGAACTGGTGGTGAAGTTTATTCTTCCATGTAGGCTGCTGTTGGAATTTTTTTCCAGCCAAAATTAATATTAAAATTAGAAAATTATTTGAGAGACAGGCTTTAATGGGATATATTGAAGGTTCTTTATGTTACTAGAGAACGGCATATTGAATGACTATTGCCACCTTGTATTCCTGTTTTATTTTTTGGCTTTCCAGGATTGTTTCAGTGCAAGTCAGTTTGGCCACTAAGTGTGGGCAAATGCTAGTTGTTGTTGTTTTTTTTAAAAAAAGAACAAACTCCATGCCTTCCTTTAGTTTCTCATAGCTCTTCTAGTCATCAGTGGTGTGTTTAAAAGCACATTCAGGAAATTTGGGAAACACAAAGAAGGCTAGTCTTGTTGTTTGGTTGTAAACTGTCCATTTTTTTCTGCACTGTGAGAGATCAAACCTTATTCTCAGAGGCAATTAGATAGTCAGATACTTAATACCTGATCATTTACTGTGAAGATCCAAGTGGAACTGACTGAGAACAGCAATTCTTATGTAAATGGTGGTAGGCAATTTCTTATGCAGATTCCTTATCTTAAAGCAGCACAATGCCAGGTCTGTACCCCACAGAGGAGATGTTAATTGTTGCTACTCAGAAGAGAAGAGTGAAGGAGGGACCAAAAGACAATCTTTGCTTTACACAGCATCAGTACTTTTGTTTGTGTTTTCACAGCTGTGTTGGCCAAACTCTTTCTTTTTAGCCATCCATGTTTTATGTAATGAGAGGTGGTTATGGAATACAAATGGAATTGGTTTGCTTCAAAAATCCTTATGTTTCTTAGTAAGACAGAGGAGCTGTTTGTTCTTTCAACACTTTGCACATCCCAGGTAAATTAAAAATGCCACTCTAATGTTCAGTTTTATTTCCTATAGCA